TGGCTTCGAGCACATCCCCAGTGGGTGGTGTGCAGGAGGCAGCTGATGGATGTTTCTCTCTCATCGATGTTTCTAACTCTCTATCTCTCTCCCTTCCTCTCTGTAAAAAATTAATAAAATATTTAAAAAAAAAAAAAAAAACAAAAAAAAACATATCCTCGGGTGAGGAATTAAAATTTTTTTTAAAATCACTTAGGTTACTGAGTTTAAAGAGTAGGCTCTCTGTTTTAAGTGGAATGGCTTTTTGTCATAAAGCCACAGACCAGTCACTTCAAACAACTACAAGTAAACTCCCAGAATAAAAATAGTTTTAAATACACAATTGGGTGGGGTGTGGCTAGCAAATATTCTGATTCTACAATCTGTTTGGACAAGACATTGCTTCTTATGTGACTAACAAAGCAAACAGTAGTCCGATTCCCTGTGCTGAAATTAATACACTATTTGCAAAAAGGGTTGAACGTCGTAGGCTTGTTCAATAAAGACACCACATTTCCCAAAGCTAAAGGGGAATGCAGAATGACAAATACCCACATATAATTACATATCCCACAAGAAGGTGTATGACCACCTGGTATGGATTGTGTCTCCCACAAGTACTTCATGCAGCCAAGCCCACTGTCTGATTACGGGAAAGAGAATTAATACCTTGAATTCTAATATTCTAATTTTAAAGCTGGGAGGAGCTTAAAAACCTAGTCCAACCCTTTCATTGTGTCGATGAACAAGCACCTACAAGAGATTAAGGTGAAAAGCTCTAAAAGTAGTTATAGTGGCCACAGATGAACAATGCAGGTGCACAATGCTAGGTATGGAGAGCTGCGAATAAATCTCAACTTTTGCATGAATGGCATCTAAAGGGTACCAATCTCAATCATAAGCAAATAAGTGTGTGTAAAACCATATGTACACACAAAAATACTAGAACTGTACTTCCAATAACTCCTTTCAAATTCTTCAGCCTAGCATTCAAGAGCATCCACCATGTTACCCTAATGACTTTTTCAAAATCTTGTCCAAATGAACCATAAGCAGATATAAGGCGGCCACTTTCTCTCACTTACCTTTTGTGGTCCCTTACAGGCATAGTGCAGTACATGTAACCATTACAAAAGCTACTCCACAGAAAATTTCCAAATGATGAAAGATTAAAACAAAAACTTTTCAATTCTTCTCTTAATCTGAACTGATATAAAGTCACGTTTCATGTGTATCAATGAGTATTATACAAACATCCTATATAATAAAAGGCTGATATGCAAATCAACCGAATGGCAGAATGACCAGTCGCTATCACATGCACTGACCACCAGGGGAGCACCACTCAGCCAGAAGCCAGGCAAGCAGCTGATAAGCGCAGTGGAGGTGGCGGGAGCCTTTCTCTCCTCCACAGCAGTGCTAAGGATGTCCAACAGCTGTCAGTTGGACATCCCATGAGGGCTCCCGGACTGCACGAGGGCACAGGCCGGGCTGAGGGACACCCCACCCCCAAGTGCACGAATTTCGTGCACTGGGTCTCTAGTATAGGATAATGTAGATTTTTAAAAAATATGGTAACCAGTAAAAGGTTTAAAAGTGAGAGTTAGGAGGAAGGGAGGCAGTTAGATGAGTTACCATTTACCTTTCTACAAGGTGCTAATCAGGCTTTGTTCAAAAGACAGAAAATTGTATGCAGGGGGGGGAGGAAGGGAAAGGGAAGGACAAAGAACTAACTTTTATTCTGTTCACTGGCATTCAATTATTTCCATTGCTGGTCAATCCTGAATCCATATCACTCTACTTCTAAAGAGATTTTTAAAAAGATGTATCTACGCCTATGTATGAAATACTCCTTTCGTCTATTTCACCTTCACCTGTTAGCCCCAAAATCATGCAATTAAATAAGATACAAAAATTAGTCTTTCAACTTTCTATCTTTATTAGTTTCTTTGAGGTTCCTCAAACCTATTTTAAGAGTCTCCTAATTGTTGAAGAGAATACTAACTACACTGAAAATTACAATGATAACATTTAGTGTTATCTTTAGGAGAAAATGTTTTCTAATTGGGCTGATTCAAGATTCCTGATGGAAATTCCAATATTTTTAAAATGCTGGAAGCGAAGTTTAAAGAATGTATTTTCCTTTAAAGTGAACAGAGCAACATCATTTAAATAGACATAATATGACATTATCAAGTTAAGTTTTTTTTGTAATCTCTACTGCAACTCTAAAGTTAAATCCAAAAGTAAGCAATAAAACCTGAAGTCATGTACTGAACATAGTGCTGTGAATAAACTAAAACCTTCAGGATAATTATATTGCTAACTCTTTCATCAAAGTCATGGATATCTTGCTCTGTCTGAAAAATTTAAAATAGTTAACATGTAAAACTTGAAATATTCATTTGCTATCATATTTAAAATTTCTCTTAATAACTTCTGAGGAGTTATACTAAAATCCTAAAATACAAAACAGCCTACCTACATTTTCACCACTATGTTACTTCAAGGCTAAAAATAAGAATTGGGGTAAGCTATTTTCATAAAAATTTAGGAACATTAATGGACACATTGATGGCTTTATGTAATAATTGAAGAATTTAGATGCTGTTTAAATCCACAGTCCCCTCCAAAAAAGACTTCTTCCCTTTATATACTACCAAACATTTTCAACCAAATAACACAAGAATGTGGTTTTCAAAAATATAACGAGGGCAGTATCATCCCATCATGAACAAACCTAAACATCTGAGTAATAATTTCTAAAATAAAATTACAGAAAAAGATGGTGTACAGTTACAACTATTAATATATATTTAAGACAAAGACTTTATTTTTCAATAAGAAAACAAGGAGAAAGACAGTCCAACCTGATCTTGTATGTCTGCCCAATAGAACTTTCCACCATAATTACTTCCACTGGGGGAGGAGCTTAAGCTGAGGGTGACCTCATGTAGTAGAAGGAAACCAGTATAAATACGGCAGGACAGCTCTGGAGGGAGCATCTTCTGCATTGCTCACCTGGGAACAGGAGGGCTCAGACAGTGACCAAGAAACCATTCCGGGAACTCCCAGTACTCACTCAGGTAAGAATATGGCTCACTGCTCACAGGTGGACTTCCGTGTCAGCTTGCTTGGAAATAACTACTTGGATTAATGAATTAACTATTTGGATTTTGTGATTTTAAAAAATGGCTTTCCACTAAAATGCACTCAGAAAATTTAATTTGCTTCAGTCTCTATAAAAGACAGTCCTAGTAAAACAGGATTTGCAAAAACTAATGCCCTAATCTGAATTTCAGTGTATTTTTAAACTATTGGATATTTTTGTCTAGGTCAAAGATCCTGAATTATTTAATACAGACATTCAATTATAGTTTCTGTTTCTTTTTTTTTACTTCATTTTTACTTGATTATTGATTTCCCAAAACATATATTCATTTAACTAAGAAATTATAACTCATTAATTATTAAATATACTCAAAATATATACAGTAAGATTAAAAAATAGGTATCTCTATAAGGAATCCATTTGTACAGCATTAGAAAAATAAAATGGGTCAATAAACAGAGTGGAACGAAATCATTATTTTCTGTTTTTCAGAATCCATCTGAGAACATGCTGCCACCAATAGCCCTTTTGCTGCTAATGTCCTTGAACTTGGTTCATGGAGTGTTTTATGCTGAGAGATACCAAACACCTACAGGCATAAAAGGCCCAGCATCCAACACCAAGACACAGTTCTTCATTCCTTATGCCATCAAGAGTAAAGGTAAGTTGAACTGTTTATGTTGCTTGATTAACTAGTTGGTGGTTGCTTTCTACAATCTAATGATCTCTTTAACAAAATGCTACTAACTCTGGTGCTAAATTATTTTCAAACTCTAGAATTAGCCCAAAATGATTTCTGGAAAAAGTAGGTCTATTCAAGAACATTAATATTCTTTGCACAATAAGTATAACAAAAAGATATACCTGAACTTTTTAATGTATAGAAAATTTTTCCTTTAAAAAATGCTTTTGCATAAACAACTATCATAATCTAGAAATACTAATCCAATCAAAATTACTCACATTGAAAATGGTTTAAATAAAATGATTGACAAGTGCACAAAAAAAAGAGTAGGAGGTCTATATATCTGTTCAGCTTTCTTGGCTCCTGTAAGAGTACTGAGAAAATGTTTAATAAAGTGCTAATAGATCCTCAAAGAGCAATGATTAGGGTTCATATTCACTAATTCCATTTACTAACATCTGACACATGCTGCCTGTAAAGCATCTACTGAATTAAACTGAATAATCTGAACTGACTGGAGGATTCAAATTTCTTTCCATAGTATTTTCTCATTATAGTTATATATTTTATCCCATAAAGAAAGCTAAGGATATTTGCCATTCCTTAACAAATGCCTTTGAAGACAACAATTTTGAGCAAGTTAAACATGTAGGATTGTCTATTAAAGAAGAAAATGGAAATGTAAAATATTTCATAAAAGGTAGCTTAATGTTTAAAAATAAATGCACAGATGTACAACAGATACTCTTGAATGTCTCACACTGCAAATGAAATAAGAGAAAGATATGCTAGGAAAGAAAGAAGAAAAGATAAGGAAACCTTATACTTGAAGCAATAAATGGCATTTTGAAATGCTGTGACAAGCAGCCCTATGTTATACTCTGTATGATCACAAATTCAGACTTTTTATAGTTTACCAAGATCATAAGAAACGGTTTTAAATTAAAAATAAAATGCACCATTTTTAGAAGGTTAAAAATATTTCTATCTCCCTATCTTAATTTACTGTATAATCTTGGCTAATTTTTGCAGAGTAAAAATATGTATCTTATTTACACATAAAAAGTTGAGAAGTTGTATTTTAACTATTAAATCGACCCCAACTTCTACTTGATTATATAAGGTAGGAACTCAGTATATTATCACCCACTGGCAGGCACTGTACACTGAATGAAGACAAAAGCCCACAAATCTACAAGTAAAACATGAAGCTGATAACAGAAACACAGCGTGCACATCTGTTCAGCACAGGCTAAAAGAGAGCTCAGCCAAAACACACTAAATTATGTTTCTGAAACTCTATTAAACAGAAAATTATTTTAATGTAAATTATGCAGCCAGGTATTTAAAACTAATATGTAATTTTATTACCATCTTTATTAGCTGTTAAAGAAGTTTTCTGAGAAAGAATGAGTATTTTCTGTAGCTGCTTGTGATGATTACAGCCTAAAGATTCTTTGACATGCTAATACTTCCCTAATGGTATATCCCAGTGTCAGCAATGCTGTTATATTCCACCTGAGTGACTAAAATAGCCCTTGGACATCTCTTACCATACTTACAGCAGCTCTCATAGGATCACCCTCTGCTCCTCCCACACTTGTGGCTCAATTGCACTTTTCACATAAAAAGTAATGAATAAGTGATTTTTAAAAAATATTTTTATTGATTTCAGAGAGGAAGGAAGAGGAAGAGAGAGAGAAACATCAATGATGAGAGAATCATTGATTGGCTGCTTCCTGCACGCCCCCTACTGGGGATCGAGCCCACAACCCGGCCATGTGCCCTTAACCAAAATCGAACCCGGGATCCTTCAGTCTGCAGGCCAAAGCACTATCCGCTGAGCCAAACCAGCTAACTAAGTGATTTTTTTAATTTAAATATATTATGAGAAGTAGTTAGCTCAAATGAACCCATAGCACTATGCCATCAACAATATTTATGTGCATTTATCAAGGAAAACTTTAGAAAAGCATTTTAACACTACTTAATGTACCTCTCCCTTTAGGTCTAATTCTTTGTTTCAATTTTAAGTCAATAACGGAGACTGTAGGAGTGCACAGTATGTGCTGAGGTTAAAAATAAAAATTCAACTTAAATCTAAACCCCGTGTTTAGCAGGGCCATGGCTGATGTAAATTAGAATTAAGGGCATTTCTTATTTATGTCTTACAGAATAGCTTTTGTGAGGGAAAATTGTTATTGTTCTTAAATATTTTCCCATTTATCTTGCACTTGTCTTTTTCTTCCTTTTCTATAAGGTACTGTTTTTCTTTCTTTTCTTCCTAGGAAGATGATTTCCCCAAAATAAATGTAATAAATCTGCTTTCACTGCACTCTTATTATACTAGTAGATGGATTCTTCAACCCCAGCTTATTTTCATGGGTCATTAGGTTATAATGAAAGCATTATGGTAGCCGTAGTCTTGTAAAACCATCTTCTCCGGCAGTGTTTTTAAAAACCATATAAAATGCACTGTCTAAAACCATGTAAGACTGATCAGCCAAAAAGGACTGATTGACGCTGCAATGCTCTGTCCTGATTCACATCTCCAGAAGCAATGATTATCCTTAATGTTACTAACGATGTCCCTCTCTGGGTGTGTTTTGGGGATGTCTTTTAGGTATACCAGTAAGAGGACAGCAAGGTACTCCCGGTCCACCAGGCCCCGCTGGACCTCGAGGGCACCCAGGCCCCTCTGGGCCACCAGGAAAACCAGGCTATGGAAGTCCTGGGCCCCAAGGAGAGCCAGGGTTGCCAGGACCCCCAGGACCATCAGGCACGGGGAAGCCAGGCACACCGGGACTGCCAGGAAAACCAGGGGAGAGAGGACCTTATGGACCAAAAGGAGATGTTGGACCAGCTGGTTTACCAGGACCACGGGGCCCACCAGGACCACCTGGAATTCCCGGCCCAGCTGGAATTTCTGTGCCAGGAAAACCTGGACAACAGGGACCGCCAGGAGCCCCGGGACCCAGAGGCCTTCCTGGAGAAAAGGGTGTGCCGGGAGTCCCTGGTGTGAATGGACAGAAAGGAGACACCAGATACGGTGCCCCAGGCCGTCCAGGTGAGAGGGGCCTTCCCGGTCCTCAGGGGCCCATGGGACCGCCTGGCCCTCCTGGAGTGGGAAAAAAGGGTGAAAACGGGTTTCCAGGGCAGCCAGGCGTCAAGGGTGATCGGGGCTTCCCAGGAGAAAGGGGACCGATTGGCCTACCAGGCCCCCAAGGTCCCCCTGGGGAACGAGGACCAGAAGGCACTGGAAAGCCAGGAGCCGCCGGAACCCCAGGCCAGCCAGGGGTCCCAGGAACCAAAGGTCACCCCGGGGTTCCGGGAATCGCGGGGCCCCCAGGGCCTCCTGGCTTTGGGAAACCGGGCTTGCCAGGCCTGCAGGGACAAAGAGGACCTCCCGGCCTTCCAGGGGGCCCGGGTGCCAAAGGGGAGCAAGGCCCGGCAGGCCGTCCCGGGGAGCCAGGTCTGGCTGGACCCCCTGGAAATGTGGGACCCCAAGGACCAAAGGGCATCCCAGGCCACCATGGAATGCCAGGCCCTAAAGGTGAGGCAGGGCCACCTGGGCCTGCAGGGCGCCCTGGGGCTAAGGGAGAAAGGGGTACCTCCGGCTTAGATGGGAAACCAGGGTACCCGGGAGAACCCGGTCTCGATGGTCCCAAGGGCCACCCAGGGCTGCCAGGACCCAAAGGTGACCCTGGAATAGAAGGTCCTCCTGGTCTCCCAGGCCCTGCAGGCCCCGCAGGAGCGAAGGGAATGCCTGGACACAATGGTGAGGCAGGTCCCAGAGGTGCTCCTGGAATACCAGGCACCAGAGGCCCCATTGGGCCCCCCGGCATTCCAGGATTCCCTGGATCTAAAGGGGACCCAGGGACTCCAGGTCTTCCTGGCCCAGCTGGCATAGCAACTAAGGGCCTCAATGGACCCACAGGGCCACCCGGGCCTCCAGGTCCGAGAGGCCACGCCGGAGAGCCGGGCCTTCCAGGGCCCCCCGGTCCTCCAGGGCCCCCAGGGCAGGCAGTCGCTCCTGAAAGCTTTACAAAGGCGGGCCAAAGGCCCAGTCTTTCTCCGTGTCTGCCTTCACCGTTATCCTCTCCAAAGCTTACCCAGCAATAGGTGCTCCCATCCCATTTGATAAGATTTTGTATAACAAGCAACAGCATTATGACCCGAGAACTGGAATCTTCACCTGCAAGATTCCGGGAATCTACTATTTCTCCTATCATGTGCATGTGAAAGGGACCCATGTTTGGGTAGGCCTGTATAAGAACGGCACCCCCGTCATGTACACGTATGATGAATACACCAAGGGCTACCTGGATCAGGCTTCGGGCAGTGCCATCATTGACCTCGCAGAAAATGACCAGGTGTGGCTCCAACTGCCCAACGCCGAGTCCAATGGCCTGTACTCCTCTGAGTATGTCCACTCATCTTTCTCAGGATTCTTAGTGGCCCCGATGTGAGCGTATTCGCACCAAGCTAATCTAAATCTGCTTGAAAAGGCATTCCCCAACGTCGCCCGCCCCACACAATGCGTATGGACGTAGGCTGAAAAAGATAGCAGTCGTTTCAATACAGATTTGAGCTTTCAGACCAACAAGTTTTCCCTCTGAAAAGCGAGCAGCAATGATAACCAATAGGAGACCCTGTCAAATTCCTAGTCAGCAGTCCTAAGACATTTCAAGTTTTCTGTGAAGTCCTTCGGTACTTAAAAATCTCACCATAAAAGTCCTGCTAAGCCAAAATACAAAATGATCACAAAACCCTGATCTGTGATGCTATATTACGTTAAATTTGATTTCAGAATGTCAGCATTTCCCTTTAAAATAAGCCCGTTTTCTAACAGTTAACAGAACTTCTAGGAAACTTTCAAGAAGTATATCTGTATAGGACTTAAATACTTGAATATTCAAATTTAGAAGACATTATATATCATAGGATCTTTCTGATGGTGCATTACTCAAAGGCTTAAATGGCCCCTTGTGAAAAAATCTATTCATATATAGAGGTGCGTATAGATTTTTTTATGGCTCTCATAAAAAACACACAAAATATAATGTTAAAATTAACCAGAAATGCAAGGTGCTTGGTTATGAACCTTTACAAACATTTCTGTGATTGCAGAAAAGCTTTCTATATACCCTTCACAACTTGGAAGTTGGTGTCTGATCTAATGTATTTATTTAACACAAGTATAATTAATTTGATTTAATTCCTTTATTGAGTTTTATATCAGATGATTTTGTGGGTTTACAGTATGTACCTTGTGCCTCCCATTCCAGTGAAATTATAACTAATGTCAAAGGTTTCAAAATCTGCCTAGAAATGAAAAGACATTATTTATTTATGCTCTGTACTGTATTTTTATATTGCTGTTTAAAAGTCATAAGCTGTACCTCACTTACGAAAGCACGAAATGTTTTACCTACTCCTTATTTACAATGCAATAAAATAACATCCATAGATTTCTGTGCGGAATTTATTTGCCAGTAGCAATTTGCAATTCTCAACCATTCTTTTAAGGCTCTTCATTTTACAAAGCTAATAAAAAGTAAAACAATGAAGGAGTGGGCGGCTTCACAGTTGTCAAGGATACGCCTCTCCACTGGAGATGGGCGTTCCCACACACCCGGGCACTGAGTGTACCTGTGACCCCCTCAGCACCACACGTGACCCGCAAGCCAGTGAAGGACGGGTGGCTGGGAGAGAAAAGTGAGGTAATCACCCCCGATCAGCGATTTTCTTCTGGGAGGGAAACAAAGAGGTGGCAGAGAAATATGTAATTTGAACAAATATTCTGCAATTATAATTTGTTGCCTTGATGTGTTTTTAGTCATAATATTTAGGATTATTTTGATGGCTTAAATTACATTAAAAGGCAAGAAATGTTTATGTCAATCAAAAGGCAATATTTTTCCTGACTGTTTTGGCTCAGTTGGTTGGAGCATCCTCCCATACACCAAAAGGTGGCCTCCAAATCTCAGTCTCTCTCAATCTCTCCCCCCCACTCCCCTTTCCCTCTTCCCCCTGTCTTTCTCTGCCAAAAAATAAATAAAAAGGGGGGCAACATTTTTCTAAGCTCAAAAAGTACTGCTCTTGCGCATCTATCAGCCACCCACTGGCTGAATCAGGACCATCTGGCTGAGGTCACCAGGGTCACATACTATAAAGGCATCTCTATTCCTTAGCAGTAACGTGTGTATCTCAAGCAAACCTGTGAACAGAACCATGAAACCCTGGGCTCAGGTTGGTGATATCTCTGCCCCCATTCTGGGTCAGCTAGTTCTGTTTTTTAAGCAAAAACAATGGCGTTTTCACTTTTTCCAAACTGTAACAGGTTACAGGTGTCACCAGCCTTCATTCCCAAATCAGGAAAGGGCAACACCAGAACTTCAGCTCTGGGGAATGGACCAAACGACCCCATTGACAGGTATGCAAAAGACGGCACAGCTCAAAATGTTGGCAATTATGGCCATGAAACAGATATAAACAAAAGGACCTCTTAAATGGTAGAAACTTTATAGTGATATTTAGGATCAAATTAAGTCCCAATTAAGGGATGTAGCAGAATAGGTAATGTCTAAGTAATTCACTAAACACATAGCATTTAACATCTATTAGAAAGTATTCACATTACTCACCCCTAAAAGCTGACATCTTATAATTGTGTTGAATACCAGCAACTATATCCTTCCAAAAATCAAATGTTTTCTGACCATTGTTCTGCTAAAAAAAAAAATCCAAATGTAACATATTCAATAATTCTTTTTTACGCATAATAGAAAATACTTGGCAAACAATTACAATATTACTGTATTCGAAAATAGGGACTTATTTTCAGAGAACATACTGGGTTAATAAACTTCTCATTCTTAAAAATCATCCATGAAAATTACTGCTACAAAGATGTGTATACACGCACAGAACTATATTAATATAACTCATATAACCGAAATCAAATAAAAATTTCCACTCATTAGAAAGCATGAAAATTACAGGATATTTTAAACACGGGAATAAATGTATAGCCTCTGAGACATCAGAATGTGTTACTCTGTGTACAATGGCATCAATGGGGCTACGAAGCCTAAAGCCTTAAAGCTGGTTACTTTGGAATTCAGTGCACATGTACCTGAATTTCAATATAAAAGAGCAGCAAGTCTCTACAGGAGGCATGAAGGAGATTCCAAGTCCAGAACGTAAATCATTTTTAAAAAAATATATTTTATTGATCTTTCAGAGAGAGGAAGGGAGAGGGATAGAGAGTTAGAAGCATCGATCAGCTGCCTCCTGCACACTCCCCACTAGGGATGTGCCTGCAACCAAGGTACATGCCCTTGACCAGAATTGAACCTGGGACCCTTGAGTCTGCAGGCCGACGCTCTATCCACTGAGCCAAACCGGTCAGGCCCGTAAATCATTTTTATTAAGACTTTTTTAAACCAGACAGCAAGTAAACATTACATTGAAACACACAACCCTACAACCTTTTGCTTCCTTAGAAATATTAAGCAGTGTTTTCATCTAAATGAAGACCAACTACTAGATATTTGTATCTATTATAAAAACTCCAAAATATTTAAAGACTGATACATTTGCTTGTAGTCACTATGAAATGAGAAACTGTCTCTATTTCCTGTCAATAACAATTTCTACAAACACACAGAACTAATGCTCTACAGAAACTGTCATAAACACACGACAGTAATTCTGAGTAAAAAATAAACCATTACCTGTGTTCTAAAATAAACATGATCACTGTGATTTTAAAAGATAACGTATGCAAAAAGGAAAGTGATTCTGACATAAAGCCAGTTTACGTTCATAGGTCTTAAATTCTAAGTATAAACTGATATAACTATGCCGAAACCGGTTTGGCTCAGTGCATAGAGTGTCGGCCTGCGGACTGAAAGGTCCCAGGTTTGATTCCGGTCAAGGGCATGTACCTGGGTTGCAGGCATATCCCCAGTAGGATCTCCACTCAAAAAAATCAATAAAATAGCTCTGACCAGTTTGGCTCAGTGGATGGAGCGTCGGCCTGTGGACTCAAGGGTCCCAGGTTCGATTCCAGTCAAGGGCATGTACCTGGGTTGCAGGCACATCCCCAGTAGGGGGGTGTGCAGGAGACAGCTGATCGATGTTTCTCTCTCATCGATGTTTCTAACTCTCTATCCCTCTCCCTTCCTCTCTGTAAAAAAATCAATAAAATATATTGAAAAAAAACCAATAAAATACGTTTTTAAAAAAATTAAAAAAAAACAAAAAACAAAAAACTGATATAACTAGAAATCTATTTAATTTTGATACACAGTACAAAAAAGTGTATATGCATTAAACTATGCTCAGAATGATTCATTTTAAAATTTCATCTCATTTTCTCTCATTTTACATTATTTAGAATGCTTAAGGACATGTCGAATTTTCTTTCTTTTTTTTTTAAATATATTTTATTGAGTTTTTACAGAGAAGAAGGGAGAGAGATAGAGAGTCAAAAACATCGATGAGAGAGAAACATCGATCAGCTGCCTCCTGCACATCTCCCACTGGGGATATGCCCGCAACCAAGGTACATGCCCTTGACCGGAATCGAACCTGGGACCCTTCAGTCCGCAGATCGACGCTCTATCCACTGAGCCAAACCGGTTTTGGCCGGATTTTCTTAATTACTTTTACTTTTTTATTGGTAGTAAAACAAAGAAAATATTTTTCCAGATGCAAGTTTTTTTTATTGCTTTAAAAAAACAAGTAAGCATTTACTGAACTGATATTAATCAATAATTTTGCATGTTTTCTTTTTGTGTTATTTCCCTTGTCAATTCTACAAGCTGAAAGCAAAATAAAACACTCCTATTCTATTCTTTTGTTCCATTTAAAAGCAGTGAGCTTCTATTCCAAAACCAGACTACATTATCTGAAGAAGCAGTCGATGCGCATTGTTTCTGATCCACCCCTCAAAATATGAAATCTAAAATGGGTGTGTGCGACCTGAGCCACAGAAAACTGAGGCAAGGAATAGGCACCATTTTTTTTGCTGGCACATGGGACCAATCAGTAGAAAATGCAGAGTTAAAGCCACACTGTAAACTTGAAAATGTCTATGTAAGAATGTTTAAACCTGCAGAAATTTTTTATGAGAGTTTGAGCCAAATTGATGACATATGGGGGAACAAGATCTCCAATGCTCTGGAGAATAGAGTTTTGCAACTTCTTTAATGCATTTGAAATTAATGAGGAAACAAGGAAGATTACATGGTGTTGGGAGAAAGCAAGGTGGGGGACTGGATTACAGGACAATTAACAAGGGTATGTGCTCTCTTAAGGGTGACTACAGTTTATTTCAAAGGAGTGTTAACCTAGATGCACAACAATAGACAGGGCTTGCTTAAGGCCAAGATAAACCTTTTACTAAAAAATTACATGCGTGGGGCATGTCAACCACCATAACCTGCCCGGTAAGAATGTATGCAGATGCCACGTTCTGTATTTTTCCCTAGACTTTTGCACCCCCTGCTGGAGAACAGGTTTATCCTCCCTGGAGGGAAAAATGGTCACTGCTTATTTAATTTTCCAAAAACATTTTGGCCACATTCTCTGTGTTTCTTCCTCAGTCTCCTCTGAAACCACAAAGAGGAAATTGAGTAACATCTCCACTCAAAAGACACATACTGATTTATATGTACATCACAGTTTTCTAAAATATGAAAAAAAAAAGTGTTCACCTTTGTTAAAGAGTCCACCACTCTGGCACACAGAAGAGCTCCTGGCAGGTCAAAGTAGTTATCATAAAAATAATACTTTCCTGAAAAAGAACAAAATTTTAAACTGGGAACAAATT